TCAGAATACAACAAAATGCATATTTCCATTTTTAATTTATACTTCCTGCACATTTCTATTGGTTTTTTATTGCTTTTGTCTTCTATGCTTTTTTTCCTATGTTGATCTGAGTTATTGTTGCTGTGCAACCCTAACAAACCTACATCCCACTGCTTATGTAGCAATACAGTACAGGTTGGATCCCTATGAAACCACCTTCTATAAAACAGAAATAACAAAACCAGTGTAAGAATCTTTAAAAGTAATTTTAAAAAAAGGAAAAAACCTGAATCATTAAATTATCACAATTCAAAAAAGACAGAATTGAGGTAAAGGGATATTAAGACTTTGGAGAGACATACTGGTGATAGGGCTGGAAACTCTGGTGTACAAACAGCAATAAAATAAGAAAAATACCTACAATGTTTGATATTATTGCTCACAAGAAGATCATATTACTTTTAAGTGCTCAAATGAAAAGGATCATGCAATGAGAACAGATGGCACATAAAAGAGTTGCAAAGAAACAATTTCAGTAAAACAGGTACCTCTTATGGTTTTTTTGTGAAGTTTTCCTACTGCCTCTCTCATGTACCTTAGTATGAGCCAGCAAGCAAAGCTCCCTAAGTTTCCAGTGAAATTAGTTTATGGTGATACAAATAGAAGCTCCTGGAAGAGCCTAACTTCCTAACTTGCCCCAAAATCACAGCCCTAGCATTGTGAAACAAAATGTAATTCTGATTGTAATGGAAGAGTCAACCTTCACATCTCATGGACATGCACAATAATCAAGAGGCAAACATGGATGGAAACGTCTGAATTCAAGTAAATAATTTTCTTTGCTTTCTCACATTAGTATAATTGTTGAAATAAAGAAATAAAATTTATTGCAACAAAACAGGAAATGTAAAACCATGTTTTAAAAGCTTACAGCTTTCCTGTGGGTAAAAGGCACTGTTCCAAAGACATGCATCATTCAGGTAACCTTCTACCCAGGTCTCCTCTGACATTTCTGCCAGTCTCCTGTTAATCTTACTCTTTAATTAATTTTCCTCTTATTGACACTGGCAGCTGTTGTTATGCTGACATTGGTTGTGTCCTTAAGTATCCCTTGCAAATCACACAGTATTTGATCTAGAAAACTGGATTAAAGTAGCAGCAATTATAATGAGCATTAGGAATAGCCCTGACTCTTATATTCTCTGGCCTTGCAAGAATGACTTTGAAATTACATTATCTATTTGAAACTGAAAGCTTCTAAGCAGACCGCCGTGAGGAACTACATTGTCCTACAGGAGAGAAATGAACAGTCACCATTGTTTCTGTTGCTGTTTTCCTCCTATTTATGTTGAATGATCTTTAGGAATAAAATTTTAGAGGAGAGGATGGTGGAAGAACAATGAAATATATAGAACAAGCCAAGATTTGTTTTGTAAGTGGAGTTTGTAAACATTTTACATTTTTTAAACTCCATGGATTTTTATTCAAACTATTTAGAGCCAGACTTTACAATGTTGATTTTCCACTTCTTTACTGATCCATCATTTAAAAGAGCTTCTGAGCCTTATTTTAAAAATTGCATTTACAAAACGCTGATTATCACTGGCTGCAACAGCACAGCTGTAATTGTGCTTGGGAGGTGAGTGGGGAGAATTTACTGGGACACTATATGCCTCAACCCAACTTTTTATACTGGTGCTGAATAAAGTAGTTCTTTTTTGTGTTGAAAAAGAACTTAAACTAATTTTTTAGAGTTCTGCTGCATTTGTGAACCTTCTCAATATGCCCCAGCAAGGATTTTCCTGTCTTTGCGTAAGCTTGATGAGATGAGCAGCTTGGAGAAAACATAAATGGAGCACACACAAAAGTTCGACAGATTCTGTACGAGATAATGGCCATTTTTTTACATTTACAAATCAGTGCATAATATTTAAATAGTCTCCTTTGTGGGTATTCTCTTAATAGTTGGTGCTCTTCTAGTTTTATATAAAACTGTTTGCTAAAAGCTCTGTTGCTTTTTACATATGAAAATACATGTGAGCTGTTTTGATACCCCAAGCACTACAGTTTGCTCTTTAGTTCCAAATGTTATTTCATGTACAATTCTGCAAAATAACTATTTTAACATCTAAATTTATTTAACCTAGGAAAGCATACAGAAGGGTCTAGCTGGTTTAGCCACATACAGTTAATCCGTTTATGTTTCTGCTACTTGGAACCATTAATAATGATAAATTTCATGATGTGGATGAACTGAATAGATTATCAAATCAGGAACAATAGGAAAGCTTGATTATTTTGTTTATTTTAATTGGACCTAATATCATTAACTTCTCACAATTAAATTCAGGTCCTTCCTATTTCCGAGCCTTAGGAAGTCTTTCTGAGAAAGTGAAGGCAAAGAGGGTGCTGTGCTTTGAACATTTGAACCCTGTTGACTTGAGGGAGCAAAGAATGCTGCAACAGCTGGATGTGTTTGCAAAAAGCATCTTCAGTGTCAGTACATCCATCATGACTAAAGCAATTTACTGCAATGGAGTTAGTGCTGGTCAAAGATGCTAAACTTTAAGCCCTTAAGCCCTCAAACCTGCATCCGTCTGCAGGGCAAGCATATCAGATCCACACCGTCTCTCACCTCAGCTCTGGTTTGAAGACAGCTGATCTAAAGATAAGAGGGAAGGTCATGCTCTATTGCCACAATTAAAAACAGTTTAAAATATGTTAACGAGGAACAGATTTGAAAAAGAATTTAGTATCAACAAGTTCCTAAGTTTTAACTGTCATGAAAATGTCTGAAGATCAGCACCTTTCCATAATCACCTAAGGTGCTACCTGAAGATTTGGGTGCCCAAATACCTTTAGCAATTCATTTCCATGTGCCTTTTCCCATATTTTGACCTTTATGGGCACATGATTGTGTGCAACTATAATTGACACTGAGCATTAATCAGACAGTGGTGTGTTTTAGGCCTTAACTGCACTGCTTGAACTGCTGACCTTGAGAGAAAAGGTTTTATATGCCATTCCCAATCCTTTAAGTTTTCCTGCCACTGCAAAGCAAATACTTGGCTTTTATGGATGGATTCAGTTTCAAGTCTGCAGTTTTTTTAATGCTTTCTTAAAATTCCAAAAGTGGCTTTCAGGGGAAATTTGTAAACATAGGCATATTCTTTATTACACACTACTACCAACACAGACAGGCTTTTGTAAAATAGTACATGCTTAGATATAAGTGAGAAAATCCCTTATGAAGGAATGTTGCTTGTAGAAGTGTTCTGTGAGCTTAGAGATAAATAATACCACAAACAATAGCAGATAATATCTCTTCGCTTTTGCCATTCATGTTACAGTGTTTGGCAAAGATTTCTTTAACCAAAGTACAATGAGGACTCCTTGAGATTTACAGACTCCATCCCCTTTTATATTACACACAATTTTGCAGTTGTTGCAGCTCAAAATTCCTTGAAGAAACTCTTTGTTTTGCTCCTTTTTATGCTCATCTCCTTCCTTAGTTCTTCTCACTATTGTCTCTGTGGAATTTTTATAATTTGTCCTTTAAAATATTTAATGGCACAAACACAAATCATACACACATTCTTAAATATTATTCTCATGACTGTACATTTAAAAGCTGAGTATGTGACCTCAAAACAAGATCCATGGAAACTAGCATCAAATCAGAGCTATTAAAAACAATAGCATGCTTCATCTTGCTGATGACATGAAATATACACATCAATATCAACAGATATACTTTAAAAGAAAATTTGATGCCAAAGTAAAGCAGCTGAGAAATTATTATCAGAGTCAATTAGTTCTCAACTACAATGCCAATTTGGTTTTCTTTTTTTTAAACTTGAACCATTTTCACTAGCATTTCTGGTACTGGTAGTCATATTTTTGTTTCTTGTTTGTAACTCTGAGATATTCTTACTGCGAGATATTTGAACAGTTACTGCATTAACTGTGATTGCATAAACTACCAAAAGAAGACTGGCTTGGAGGGGTTCTGAAACCTTTGGCAAAACTTGCTTACATCTTCTCACCATGTTAACCTAATATTACTGTTACCAAATGATCTAGACAAGGAAGCAACAGCCAGCAGCTCAGGATGCTGTGTGGGCACAGAGTACTTCAGATATGTGAATTTGTTCTTCAGTGAAACAGCTACTGAGGCACTGCAGCTGACAATGAAACCCACACAATTAAAAGAAACCAGATGTAAAAAAAAAAACCCCAGACAAAAGAAGCTGGATGATGTCAAACAAAAAAAGGCAGAGAGAAGTAAACAATTACAAACTGGTTATTAGCTAGAATAAGCAGCATAACTGGGAAAGCTAGACTTTAAGATAAATTCCATAGTGCTACAATCACCACATCTCCTTCCATTTAAGCCAAAGGGAGTTTTATTGCCAAGGAATCTCTCCATTAAAATTTTGTAATGATACCCTTCCTTACTCAGTGAAGACAGTGAAACCCTCTGGTTGCTTTAAAATTACAAAATATTGTTTCAGAGTCAGCAATACTTGTTTTTGCAAGAACATATGCTCATGGGGCTGAGCTAAAGACCAAAGAACTACTATAAAAAATATTTCCACTCCTTTTTTTGTCTTTTAAAATCTTGTTGCACTTTTCCCTTGTACTGTCTTTTTCAATAAGGCTTCTAAACCCCTGGACACAATAATTTTCCTAAGATGAATCAAATAATGATAGAAGCAGAAAGAAGAAAAGAAGACATATACTCATTTATCCTTGAGCAGCATATATTAAATATATAAAATAGTATATATAAAGTGAATATAAGGTACCATCAAAATTCATAGGTCGGCCATTTTCAGACCTTAAAAAAAAGCTCCTAAAATTTAGTTGTCGTATAGATATATTTGTCCTGAAACTGTTTGAACCTGATAAATTAATGAAACAACCACTTTTTATCTCCAGTTAGTTAGGCACAGTATCACCATCATCAGAAACTGGGGGAAGATATTTGAGAAACACTCAGCAGTCTAGAAGCATCCTACCTTTCTTTTGCGCAGTTTCACTTGATTGTCTGAATGTTCGTGTGTGGTCAAATGATTCCTTACATGTAAACACTGAATGTCTTCTGCTGAACTGACATTCAAAAGGCATTTGTTTTCAGGGGCCACTTGAGGTTCTGTGACACCACTTTTATCCAGACCATTTTCCACTGCTGAGATGCAAGAGCAAGGAGGAGATTGCATAAGGCCGTTGCTGGGCTGCACTACTGAGCAGAGCTGTCCATCACTACTGGTGTATGATTCAGAAGAAATCCCACTCTCTACCACATTGCACTCAGACTTTCCAAGCCCGTCTTTGAAAGCATCAGATTTCCGGCGCTGTTGTGCAATTACAGCAGTATGAAGCAGCTGCTTCCCAGACATAATAACTTCTTTCACATTTGTAGAATTGATACAATTTTCCTTCTCTACATCTACTACTTCATTTAAGACTTCATAATTACAAAGCTCCAGGCTTTGGCCAATACTGCCACAAACATCTTCTTTCCTCTCCTCTTTAGGTTCCTCACTTATATCTCCACCGATTCCAGATGATTCAGCTGCCTTGTTACCCTCTGTTATTGGTACCATCTGTGTTAAGGAGCCTGCTCCATTTAAGCTGTGCCCTTCATCTTTGGGTTCACTTCCTACAGCAGTGATGTGGTAATTAACACTATCCAGGCTGAGTGCAGAATAGTCATCATTGTCATCAGACACATGGACTAGAGTTTCTGTGCTCGCCTCCAGAAAATGTTCCTCATCCTCGTGGTTGTCGTTTTCATCCACCTCCTTTGAAACATTTCCCAGCTGCTTTTCAGGGAAGCCAGTCACCTCTCCACTATAGCAGCACTCTGGAAACGAAGCACATTTTTCTTTCCGGTCCATGCTCAAAACCTCATCTTTTTCCATACTTGTCTGCAAGTTATCAGCTACAAGTCCGTGACGACATGCTGTATTATACTCCACAGGCTCCAAAGCCAATCCCATCCACTGGGTCACATGCTCTTCCCAGCTTTTCTTTCTGATTGCTAGAGACATGTCATAACAGTTCAGAAGCAGACTGCAATGTACCTTCCACAGAGGACCAGAGGAGAAGTCATGGCTGCTGTGCACTGCTCCTGAGGGAGAGAAGGTTTCATCATTTTAACATCTGCAAGAAATAAAAAAAGACTGTGTTATTGAATCAACTCCAAATAAAAAAAAAAAGGGAAGGAACAGTTTAAACAAAAGTGTAAAACAAGATAAGACTGTGGGACCAGAAGGACAGGAATTTAAAAGACTGTTTTGTTTAAAGTTTTAATACTTTTCATACAAAACTTGACGGCACTCATAATTCAGTATAACATTTTTTTTGATTACTTTCCAATATCAAGTAAACAAAAATGTTACAAACAGGCACATGGACAAGAAAGTAGCTCCAGAGCCAAAATTTTACAACAAGCTCCTCTTAACTGTGTCTCTCATAATAATTTCAATGGGTATAAATGACATTGTAACTTATAGTTGCTTTGTAACTTTATTTCTTCCTCATCCATGGATACCTGTGGAGTGCAGAATTCTGGCTGTTTACCAAAAGAGGTAGAGAACAATTGAGGGTTTTTCCAAATTTACCAAATGTATAAACTACTTATCTTCTGAGTATCTTTGGCCCATTCAGTAGCTCTTATTTTTATTGTTACTATTAATTTTCTTCAGGCCAAGTTGTAATTGCAAGTGTTACATGAAACTGCAGAGTAAATCAGTTGTTGTGTAGTAATAAAAAAAATAAATCATAGAATCATAGATAAGCTTGGGTTTGAAGGGACCTTTAAAGGTCATGTAGTCCTATAAAACACTTGGAAAACCACTTTAAGTTTTTGGTGCATTTTCTCATTCAAATGCATTATAAAACCTGAACCCTGCACACCCTCCCTTGCTGAATATATTCATGATCCTCTGGTGTAAGGCATGGAGAAAACTGTTATTTGGAATGGGGCTCTCCAGAAGGGAAGACTTTGAGCCAGCTGGTTGGCTGTAGCTTTGCTACTCACCTGGACTGCCTGGCTCTGCCAGAGGCCACTGTCCCTGCTTGGGGTTCTATGTGGGAATTTTCACTGACTGCTGCATTAGGCATTCTGTATGATGGCATTTGAGATAATACATTAATCTTATGTCATTGCATGTGTATGTTAGCACAAAGAAAATATATTAATTTATGAATCATAAAATAAAATTAACAAGTTCACTGTCAAAGAAGAAAACAAAACTTCTGTCTCATAAGATGTTAGAAGTTCAAGGAGCAGACACTTCTCCTTTTCACTCCCTACACAAGAACTGTCAGCACTTAGCATGGATCTGGTTATTGATTTCAGCAATAAAGAAGATTAAGCAGTGAGTCTGTTCTGGGTCATTTCAGTCCACTAAGGCAAATTCTGATTGCCCACCAGGTCACAAAGCTGCCTTGACAAATCACATGCCTGAAAGTATAAAAGTATTTATCTTGAAAGAAATGCAGAATTATGCCTGGGCAACTGAACCTCCATAAATTATGCCTTGACAAACTGACTTTCAGGATAGGCTTGTACGCAGTCCTAGATCTTTAACCTTCTTTTAGGAATGGCAAGCTTCATTTCACATTCACATTTTCCACCTCTGTGGAGACTCTGCTTAAAAAGAACATATATTCATAGAGTATATGAAATTCCATGTACAAGTCATTAGTGTGTGGGAGGCTGAGCAAAATGGAAAATAACACACAGAACCAGGCCAAAAAAACTATCTGCTTTCAGAGGCAAACTTTAGTAGTAAAAAGTTAATAAAATTTTATAATTCTCTCTTCTTTCCTGATCAAATGTGAAATTAACCCTATATATTAAAATATAAAGTGAAATTGTTGTATAAATTTGCAGCACATTCTTATTCTGATTTCATCTTTATTTCTAAGTGCGTGTGGTTCAAAATTACCAGAGTGAAAAATCAAAAGTGAAAATACTTTCAACTTCTGCTGCACCTTTTCCTGATGGACACTAAAGCTCTTCAATTAAAATAATTTTACAGTCACCAGAGTTTTGTTTTGAACTTTGAAAAGAGGCATGTTTACTAGAAAGGGCGCAATGATTTCTACTGTCCTCCATGAGCAATGTTTGGAGTTACACATGGATACAACTCATTTGCAGATTCCCTTTCTTCCCCTACTAGAACACTACCTTAATCTCCTTCAGAGAAAATTAAACACAGTTGCTACAGCCATATAGGGACATTTCTGACAACAGTCGATAAAGATAGTAGAAGTAAAGGGTACAAAGCTAAAAAATGCAACTTCCTAATGATATACATACATCCACCTACCTAATTAATGCACAGAAGGCAGCCTCTCATTGAGTTGATGGGAGTGTGTTAATCTTGCTGCTGCTACATGGACTTACGGAAGTGGAAGAACAGATCTGTTACTGTTTTTCATTTTTTTGATGTGGTGAGTTATATTTCATGGGGTATGAAAACTAAATTTTACTTTAGGAACCTTTGTGTTTTACTTGCATTATCACTAGTTTTGACTGCCTCATAGACTGCAGAAAAATTATTAAACAGAGAAATATAAAATACTTAGCTTGAAATAAAAGACAAATAAATATACCACATGGGCACTTTTATTGTTCTCTAACAAATGAGTGTGTATTAGCACTCAATATGAAAATCTACAGTACATATGTCACCTCCCCAGGCAGCTTCACCAGCAGCTCCTGAAATCCCTTCATTCCCATGGTGCATGAAGGAGCTCAGAGCTTGGTGACAGCTTACTTTTCTTCTGCTCCCTCTCCACTCCTCAAAGACCATGTTAAACAATTCAGCTCAGAAATTATTTTCCTGCTCTAATTGCTTGACATTTAAGGGCTGACAAGAAAATTTATTTCTTTTCTACCTATTTGTTCAGGACAACTTATTTCCTTTCACTCATATGCAAGCACATAAGCTGTATCTTGGAGGGTTCAGTGCTCCAGACCTCTGGAAAAGATTCTCTGCCAGAGAACCAGATGCCACTGTGCAGAATAAAGTATTCCTGCCTCGATCACTGCTTTTCTACTATTGCTACTCATTTTTTTTCCCATGACATGCAGCATCTTTTACCATCTGAGAAATGCCCCTTCAAGTCCATTTGTACTTTTACCCAAGGGAAGAAGCATCCCCCTTTCTTACTATTCTTGCCATGCCACAACTGGAAACCTTTATATCTGATTTCTGCAGAATTTAAGACTGTCAGATGAACCATCATCAGTCTGTTGAAATGTTTTGCAGAGTGAAAACAACTTTTCTTCTGATCAAAACATCTATCAATATGATACAGTCCACTCAGCTGTTGCTATAATTCTGACTTATATTTTGCTTTACTTTTCAAGTGGTGTTTGGTATTGCTTAGTACTATTAACTTTCTGAAGAACAAAACAAATCTTTGTTTTGAAACAAAATTACAAAGGATAAAACTTCTGGGAAAAATTTCTTGATCCTGGGTTTGAATTAAGGAATATGGCCAACATTGACCCAATGAAGGTAATTCTTGACCTATAGAAAGTGAAACTGAGCAGTAGGTCATCAGAGTGCAGCAGAAGCCCAGTCAAGAACCCTCTATGATGCTTCATATTGTTTACAAAACTAGATGTTAAGTTAGATGGATTTTGTAATAATTTACTGCCTATCTCACTGTAAAGTCTAATATTAATGAAAAATAGGGCAAACCTTTAGGTTAGTTTATTTTTGGAAACTTTGTGTCTAGTCTCACAGAACGGGGTGACTTTACAACTGATAAAGCGGAAAATGATGAGCTGGTAGGTTCTCTATAATTAGACAGTCTAACATTTTCCCTCAATTAGAATTCCTGTGATTTTCTTTTTTCAGAAAAAACTCATATTAAACTGCTTGCAGCAGGCTTTCAAAATACAGACAGAGAATTTCTTTTTCCTCATGAAATTCCATTCAGATTTGTCTGTGCAACACATTTTTCAAGATATGTTTTACCTTCTCTTGCTTCCCTCCTCAAGGAAAAATGACACTTTACAAGAACTATCCTTACACAAACCCAGTACTAGGACTGACACCTGTGAAAGCTGCGTCAGGAAGAAATGAGTCTTGGAGCTAGGGGGAGAATGGAAAGGGAAGGAAAGGCACTTAAATGTGGAACTGTGGCCATGCAGACCTGTCAGAGCAGCTTCCCTTCTGGGGCTTAGGACAGAGCACACAAACATCCCAGTTACAAGAATACAAGGGCAGAAGCACACAACCAGGGCTCTCTGGTCCTACATCTTTGCCCCTCAGACTTCCAGAACACGGGAGTGGAGCCCTGTTTTTCCCAGAGTGGAAGAAAGAGATAAGAAGAGAAACATGGGGCCATGCAGCAATAGCAGCAACCACACAAGCCCAGGCAGTAAACCCCAAGCCATGAGGAGCGAAGGACTCTGGCAAAGAAGGCCTAAGTAAGACACTGCTGTGCAGAACACTTCATGGCATCTCTGTATGGCCAAAGCAAGCACTGCCACTGATCCAGGTGTGACATCTCTGTTGCCTGCACCATTTTCCTCCATTTTGACAATTCATTGCACCATATTCAACAGCCATCTTGCAATAAATAGAAAACCTTTGGAAGGAAGGAAGGAAGTTGCAGAGAACACGGGACAGCTCACAAAGGCTGTGGCAGGAAAGTTTCTGAGAGGGCAACCCAGGCAGTACAGCCCCACCATCATGCCAGTGGAATTTAAGTTTTGCTAATGTTTTACATGGGATGCAAATTTTTCTTAAAAAAAAAAAAGAAAAAGGCAAAGCATCAAAAACAAAGATGAAAGACTGTTTCATTACATTTTTTGCATAGCAGGAGTATGTGAGCAATGGACATCAAGCAGAAATATTTATTTTGTTATCATTATTTTATCTTCATTAGTCTGTGACCCCAGTCAGCAAACTTTGTTTAAGGAAGTCTAAGTGAACAGGGTCTGTTTCCTATAAACTCATCTCACATCTCCTGGTCTGGCTTGGATACAGCTCTTTCAGTAACTCCATACCAATCTCTGACA